CCAGGCACTTTTCTAAAGGCTTTTGTTGTCTATAATCTTTCTGTACAACAAGCCAGTTACGTGAACCCTATCATAACTCCTATTTTGAAATATGAGAAAACTAACATTTAACTTAGGTTGAGCAGCACCCAGCCTTCAGGCACAACTTTTTCACTAAACATAGTGACAGGTATCATTACAGGTCTACTTCCCATGTGCCAAGAATATACCTGGACACACATGCATCATTTCCCATAATGCTCACCCATAGGTAAGAATATCTCCTTTTCACAAAGGAGGGAATTCAGGAGTGGAGAGTTTAAGTAGAGGTAGGAGTGAAACACAAAACTCTAGCCCATTTTTGTTCCATATTTTCCTGCTTCAACTGAACTGCCTTGCTGCTCTGAGTTTGTGGTAGTTCGGTTTGTGTGTTATTCCCCATGATGAGACTGGCAAGTTATTATGTGCCTTAGGATAATCTTCTGTTTCCTAAGCATACTGTGAGAGTGTGAGTATGTGTGTGTGTTTTAGCAGCTAGTATTAATTACCCAACTCACATACCTAATTTTGTCTCATGTGTAGCCTACCATGTTCTGAAGCACACCAAACATTCTCCTCTGTGTAGATATCTGGTGACTCAGTCTACCTATTATTTTCTAGGAGAGGCCTCAGGAAGCAACTAACCTGTTTTGTGTCATGAAGAACAGCTAAGTATGCCCCATACTAAAGTACAAGCCCAGTCCCGCATTCAGGTGGATAACATCAAAAAATTAAGTGTCATTGGAGGTGGGAGAGGAATACAAGAAGATGTTGTTATGTGCCGTCGAGTTGGACCCAACTCATAGCAACCCCTCCTTGGGTTTCTGAGGCAGTATCACTACAGAAGTAGATTGCCCCATCTTCCTTCCAAGGAGTGGCTGGTCGGTTTGAACCGCCAGCCTTCTGGTTAGCAGTCAAGTGCCTTAGGCATTACGCTACCAGAGCTCCCACAAGAAGATGTAGTTCCCCTCAAAAATCAATCATTTTAAAGGTGTTCATCTGAGGTTCTGTTATGGTTTTAAATTTGCCAACATTTTGCGTTCAGAATGTTCCAGCTTTCCTCCCACCTCCATCCTATAGTTACCCTTCCTATGTCCTTCCTACCCATGCACTCCTGCCTGTCCAGGTTTCTCCCTGTGCAAATGCTGCCCTCCCCATGGTTGATTGTTTTACAGAGTGCATCTCCCTGGAGTAGCTGACAAGCTTATAGGCTCGATTGGTTGTTTTTTGTATTATTTTGAACACAATGTTCTCCCTGTCTTTTCCTTCTGTGATTATCGTAGTTGCTCCAGTCATCTTGCTCATTCAGAAAGGCAGGAAGAGGATGTTTGAAAATAGAACTCAGGAAGGAAACCAAGCAAGAGTTGGAGAGGAGAGGGGATCTGCTAACATCATTTGAGCCCCTGGATCAAGCTGTGCCTGAAGCAGTTTGTTTGTCTTTTTCCCCCCAGTTAAGCAACTCAGTAAATTGCCTTTTGGCTTTAGGTATTCTGAATTAGATTTCATTCATTTCAAAATTATAAGTAATGAGAAAAAATTGAGAAAATCTGACACATACTATCACTACTGTAATTACTTTTCTTTAAAAAAAAAAAAAAAAAAACCTGACATAGCTTTATGAATAAACCCAAGAAGTGGAACTTTTGAATGTTATGTTTCATTATGTCAGATTTGTAATACAAGTAGTTTACAAACAAACTCCTTCAAAATAACACTGGAAAAAAAAAAGCAAGAAAGAAAGAAAGCTTTTTAACTGCTCTTTTACTGATGTTCTCCATAAAAGTAGAAAAGAGGAACTTAGTAAAAAATTGTTAAACACAAAAGCAAAGTAGGAGAAGCATCACAACATTCCATAAGAAAAGTAATTTTTCCAAGAAACACACAATGCACCAAGTGCAAACCTGGGACATACCTGCCAAACCAAATCAGGATCAAAATTAAAAGTTGGCGCTTCCTGCAAGGAGATAAACCACAAGTAATTTTATTCATTTCACTTATTTGGTGTTCATTCAATGACTTTAGCCACCTGGTGGCAGTACATGTGATTTTTGTGAGGGTATTGTTCCTGGTTTTGATGTGAGCAGAGGAATCTCCCAAATAGTCACCGCAAAGAGACACAGTACACAACTCTAAAAGTTCAGGGGGTGTTGCACAGTAATCTATGAGAACTACCAGGCCTTGGTGCTTGCATTTAGGCAAGATTTTAACAAACACCTTTCGAGCATTGAAACAATGTATTTATGGAGAGACTATGGGGTAGGGGAAGTTCACCTTCAATTTCTCTAAAAAGAAAAGGGCAGTAGGGATAATCTATAAATCCTTACTATTCATGTTATCCCCCTGAAACTACAGAACAAACATCTCTAGAAAATCTCCTGTTAACTTCAGATTTTACCAAAGTACTAGATGATGCTGACCCAAAGGGGTTTAGGTTAAAACTCAAAGGTGTCTCAAGTTCCACCCACTAGGTCTAAGGGTCAGATCAATTTGGTAGTCAACTCTGTTGTTGTTGTTAAGTGCCATCAAGTCAATTCATAGCAACCCAATGCAATGGAGTAGAACTGCCCCACAGGGTTTTCTAGGCTGCAGTATTTACAGGAGCAGATTGCCAGGTCTTTCCTCTGCAGAGCCACTGATGGGTTCAAACCACCAAACCTTAGGTTAGCAGCCAAGTGCTTAACTATTGTGCCACCAGGGCTTCTTAGTCAATCCTAAAATTTGTAAAATAGGGATTTCCAGTATTCTCCCCAATTTTCACAGGTACCTATCCTACAAAATCAGATAAGGTAACAACCTACATCACAAGCAACACACGGTTCAAGGAGATGACCAACTACCAGCTGCTTCTGTAATTCAATTTAGGGATGCTGAATGTAGATGCTAATGGACCCAGACTTCACTGACAAACCAGAAGGCAGCACTTTCATCAGTTAATAAGCTTCCCAAATGACCAAAGAAAAACTCCAGGCTCAGTTCCCTGACAAATAGATTGATCTTCATTTGTCCTAAAATTATGTTTTATCTCTATAAAACATCATTGTACATCATAGGCATGCATAAAAGGAAAAGTCTAGGCTTAATTTACTGATAATGTGTTCATGTGAGTTTGCCCTAAAAATCATGTTTTTTATGCCTTTCCATATAGATAACCTAAATAAGTATTTCTATTTACTTTTCAAATAAAATATATGATGATAGGACTAGTAAACTAAACCAAACATTTTCTGCTTTAAAAAAAAAAAAGACCAAAAAAAATATATATATACCAATTTTCCTTTTACGGACACTTTACCAAAATATCATCCACTGAACCAGGAAGGATCCATCTTTCCAGATCTCTCCAAAGATTCCTGAAATTCAATCCTTTGTTGAAAAAATAAAATGATAATTTCAATATAGTTTTTAGGTGCATCCTATTCTCCATTACAATTTGCACTGGGATGGGTGGAAGAGGGACTAAATGACCCTTTGCAAAAAAAACGAAAAAAAAATCAAGTGTTCTGTCCTTTCTTTTTCCTCACTCTCACTCTGATTTTGTTTGAATTTTTTGTTTGCTTGAACCCTCAACTAAGTTTTAGGTTTGGTTCCAATGTGAAATAAGGACGAAATCTCAGTTATAAAGCATTGCCACCCAGTGTAGAATTTTAAGTTTCTTTTACAAATAAGTAACAATTACACACATTTAAAACAATTTATGAGCTAGGATTAAAAAAAAAAAAAAAATTATCCCATTGTTATTTGGTCCCTTTGATGACATTCTTGAAACCAGTAAATGCATTATGCGAGTACTGTAAATGCATTATGCAAGTACTTTAACTCATATAGCCCAATTTGAGAGACATATAGTTTAAAGCAAATGTTCCACATCATTTCCACAGAAAATCCACTTGGAAGAAAACATTCCCATTGACTAAGGGGGAAAAAAAAAATCCCATGTCAGAATTGTACATGCCAAGCATTCAGTGGCTTGTAGCAGTCTCTTTTTCTTTAAGACTTGGGAATTTTTTGGCAGACAATTCAAAATTATGTGCTACAAGAAAGACAGAAAAATTATTATCCTATCTGCAAGCCTCAGAATCCTCTCATAGGTCAATGATGACCAGCAAACTTTCTCAGTGTTAACCTGCAAGCATGGAATTTCCAGATTGCAAACAACTCCATTATGAGATTTTTTCTTAATGCAACAATTTAAATCAATAATAATTTATTCTTAAGATAAACACTACCATTTGTTTCCTCTGGTAAAAGCTGAAAGTAAAAAAAAAAAACCCTTCAAATTTCTAGGTATTGACAAAGCAACTAAGTTTTATTTGGATCTGATTCTTAGTCATAGATGGTAGCTTGGTCATCATTATTTGCTTCATTATTCTTTAAATGCCATAAATCTATCCAGGAGGTAGTTTTGTATTCTTTTTAAATGCTCTATCTCTATGCCTTCACAGCTAAAAAGGATACTGTGTGAGTATTTAATAGATTATTATTTCTTCCAGACTTGGTTAGGAAAAAACTCTATTATTCTTTTAAAAATAAGTTTTGCTAATAGCATAATTTTAATTATTTAACAACTCCATTGTCTGGAGAAGTTCCTTTGCCAAAGTCTAGCTTTTGAAAGGTGTCTTTTCATTGTAATGTGAATGGGGTAGGGGGGATAATTCCAGTATTAGAAATTTACTTTTAAAACACAAGTAAAACCTGCCTTTGATTGAAGGCATTGGCCAGGCTCCTGAAATTAACCCAGCTCTTTTCAGTCAAAGGATACTTGAGCCCTTACTCTTCTACCCACAAAAGGCACCCTAATTTAAAGGGCCATTAAATTAAATGCACCTAGCAAAGCAAAAAGATCCAAGAACAAAAGCACCCAGGAGTATGCCTAGAGAGAAATGAAAGGTCCCTTTCACGTGTTTATGTGTTAAGTTAGGCACTGTCAAGTTCAAACAAACTCGGAGGCACAGCTGTTTTTGACAAATGTGCACAGCTCCTACCTTCATTTCAATGACAGTCTGGAGAGCCTTCGTCTTGGCTGGTTCCTGCTGAAGTTGGCTTCTTCGGTGCAGTTCCTGGGGAGGAACACGATAGAAATAAGCCTGCCGGTTCATTCTTCTGTTACACCATGCCCCTTACACAGGTACACTGCAGCCCACAGGATCAAGACTCCTCATGCACCAACATAAACAAGCCACAGGTGCTTCTTCCCCCCACACTCTTTAGCATCCCTCCTGCCTGGAGCCTGCGTGCGGGTGAAAAGCTCCTGGCACATGCGCTATTTCTGAAAGTTCCATCAATAATTAATGTCAACTGTGACAAAGCCAGCAAGTAATTATAGTCCAAATACTGTTCAACACTGGGGCTGATGCCCAGCCATCAAATCATAATTTGCTAAATTACATTACTCTGTGCTCCTAATACAAACAGAGCAAGAAAACAGAGGAAAGAAAATGACTAACGTGGTTGCAAATCCACCGTACGCATGGCATTTTGCTCTGGAGGTAGGTTTGCAATGAGCAATTTAAAACCTTTGCAGTACAACTGTGTCACTTTTGGGAGTAAAATAATCTGATGAAACCCTGTGAGTCTCTTGCTTTCTAATTTACGATTTCGGTCCTTGTTCAAAATTACATCTGTGAGTGTACTCATGATGCCAAGAAATTAAAATTGGCATTAATATCAACAGTGCTAGGAAAGAGACAATGTTTAAAGCCAGATGTGGTCCCAAGAACTTCCGGAATATGCTGGACATTTCTTTAGGTGAAAAAAACAGCATAATCACTATGCTAAGCTTTAAGTTTCACTTTTTGCATGACTTCTCAGCTCTGACAAGACTTTGAAAAGTTGTCTCAGCAAAACAGAAGTGAAATATGTAACTTATTCAATTCACTCTTCAATTTTCTTAATAATTATTGGTCTTATGGAAGCAGTCAATGATAGGAGTAAACAAAAGTACCGCTGACAAAAGTATTCACCCACGGAATAATTCCAGTAAAATTTATTTCTGCCACCAGAAAAGATATTTTATATTCACCATGGAATAGCTGACCTTCAGGCATTGCATTCCATCATACCACATAAATTTAAAAAACAACAACAAACTCAATGGCAGGTAGATAAAATGACCAACATAATTCCAACTTTTTCTAAGTAAGGGCATTTAAAAATAACTCTACTTCCATCACTATCATCAACTCTCATCACCATTTATAAAGATGGTATATACTGATGTATAAAATGTCAGAAAAATAGAATCCCACAATAAAAGACAGCACTTCTCAAGAAAAGCAAGCAGGTAATCTTTTTTCCACATCCTGAAACATTTTTCTTATCTGCCATCAACCAAAGAAGTCTTGGTCATGGACTATGGTGTATTTGTCCAGGGACCAACCCAGGAAATCATCACTATAGGTCTCGAAAGGGGGGGGGGGATGGAAGGTGGGGAGGGGTCCTAGAAGCATATTTTCTCCTTAGAGTCATCACTGGCAGAAATCCACAAACCTATGGGAAACCACTTCTCAATCTCTGATTTGAGATGTGTGCTTCTTTCTAGCTATGACAATTCTTTGCTGTAACTTAGGACACACTACCTAACATATCCTTGTAAGGGATGAAGTTAAGTATCACTGAATCTGTTTTACGAATAGAGAAACAGAAAGAGATCCCATGTCCTTTTGGAAACAATGGACTGTGGTGAACTGGCAACACCTAGATAAGGCAGAAATTTTCTGAAGGAACCCTGGGCAACTTCTCATTAAAAACAAATGGTCTTGAAAGCAGCTATCATTTATTGGGCAACCACAGTGTTCCTGGGACTGACTGACTTTGTCTCTTTCAAGCATCAACACCTCTCTATGAGCAAAATGACACAGGGGTGAGTTCAGTTAGGTGCTGGTAATCGTTAACAAGCAGCACCCACCATGGCCAACTTCGAGCTACCTCCATGGAGTCACTCAGTGAGGAATAGGGAAGAAATGTGCAGTAACCTCATTGCACAGCATTCCCAGCATAAAGACACACACTTAAATAACCCCAAGAGATAATAGTAACATGTAGTGCAAAAACTTACAAAGTGGTGAGTTTTAACATAATTTTAAATTGTGAATTTGTATATTTGTTACATTAGTTGTTAAAACCAGTTTCCAACATTCTGCTTTCATGGGCCAGTATAATCCAGTGCCGTATAACATTGGGTGAATGCCCTAAGATTTCAATCTCCCCAAGAAGCTACTTACTTAGTTGTCATAATGTGTGAGGACATTACTTCCAAGATTTTTGGAGTTTATAAAATGTCACCATATAGAGGAGAAACTGGAAAGTGTTAGAGTTGCACCTTAGCAAGTAGTAGAAGGAAGACATTTTCACAGGTCACCAATCCGATCCCAGATAGCATCAAAGCCTCTTAACAAAAAAAAGCTAAGAATGAAATTCATGATTTCATTAAGTCCAGTTCAAGAATCAAAACCATACTACAATTGGAGAAGATAGCTTAGGTTTGTAGAAAACAAATAGAAATAATCAAGAAACAACTAAGGAATACAGAGAAAATAAAAACCATGGGGAAAGTCATGTGCTATTGTAATTTCTGCCAAACATGAAAATATTTCTAAGGGCAAACATGCAATAAAAATAGCTGAACTTTTAACAAAAGCTTTGCACAAATGAACACAGAGTTCTTGTTTCTGTAATTATACAAATTATATTATAAACGAGCTCAAAATCCAACGTACCCTGTTTCGCTCCCTGAATAAAATTAAATCTCCATTTACCCAAGAATTGTAATTTTCACATCTAACTATACTATTTTTCACTCCTGGCTTCGTAGTTTCTGAGGATCACCTTAAATTCTAGTACGTCAGGTAAGTGAGCATTGTAATTTGCAGGGAGATTCCACAGACATCTCAAAGGCTCATCTCAGTTCACCCATCTCTCTGAGATTTAGAACGTTTACAATACTCTCGCTGACTAAGGCAGAGATATACAGCTTCCCACTAAAGACTGCTCCTCTTCATAGGGTAAAGTTGTTTCTGGAAACCCTGTCTCCCACCTGCCACCATCCTTGTATCTAGAAAGTGGCCATGTGACTTATTTCTGGTCAGTGAGACTTTCAGATCCAGCCCATAAAAGTCTTCCACCTGGTTGTCTTAGTTATCTAATGCTGCTATAACAGAAATGCCATAACTGGGTGGCTTTAACAAACAGACATTTATTTTCTCAATTTCGGAGGCTACAAGTCTGAATTCAGGGCGCTGGCTGTAAGGGAAGGCTTTCTCTCTCTGTTGGCTCTGGAAGAAGGTCCTTGTCTCTTCTAGGTTTCTCTTCCTGGGAGATTTTCAAGTAGCTTGGCATCTCTCTTTCCTCATCTCTGCTTCTAGCTTTTACTTAAACTCATTCATATCTCAAAAGAGATTGACTGAAGATACACCTTATACTAATCTTTCCTCATTAACATAACAAAAACAACCCATTCTCAATTGAGATTATAAACACAGGCATAGAGGTTAAGATTCACAACACAAACTTTTTGGAGACACAATTCAATACATAACACCAGTCCTCAACTCTCCCTCTTTTCCTATATGTTGGCTGGAAGTAAAGGACTCTTAGACCCAAGTCAGCAGCAGTCCCAAGATAAACAGTTGCCATAGAGTTGGCCCTGACTCCTAGCCACCCTGACTCATGATGACCCCACACATATCAGAGTAGAATGTGCTCCATAGGATTTTCAATAGCTAATTTTTCAGAAGTAGATCACCAAGCTTGTCTTCCAAGGCACCTCTGGGTAGTCTTGAACCTCCCACCTTTCCATTAGCAAGCAGCACAGTGTTAACTGTTTGCACTACCCAGGAGTTCCTGAAAGACCATGAGAAAAGGCTGCTGAACACCCACATTGAATGGTGCAGTGAATGAAAATAAACTTCTATTAGGTGAATTTTGAGCTTTCAGGGTTTATTTGTAGATACCTTAGTCCTCTCAGTCTTAAGTACTACAATGGCTTCAAGCAAAAATAATACTCACTTAATTAGTCCTGTATTGTTTGTTGCTTTTGAATCATAAAAGTGATTTTAATGTGATTGTTCTGGTTACCTAGTGCCACTCTGACAAGAAATATACCACAAACGGGATGGCCTTAACAAACAGTTTATTCTTACAATTTGGAGGCTTTAAGTCCAAGTTCAAAGTGCCAGGCTCTAGGGGATGGGTGAAAGCCCCTCAACCTTGGGGTCCAGCTCTGCCTCCTGCTACTGGCCCACTGGAGCTAGAGGCATTTCTTCACTCAGACAGCTGCTGGCTGCTGAGGCTGAGAAGCCCCAAGGTTGACAAGTAAAAAGGCACAGTCCCAATGTTACCAAACCACATGGCAGGCCATTAACTTAAGTCCATTGTAAGTCCCAAAGTCGGCAGAGCATAGCAAGCTGCTGAGCAACAATACAGCTACATGCACAGTGCAAGTGTGCCAAAAGCTAGAGACCATTCCCAAGATTTCTCCTTATATACAGGAAGCAGACCACATCCCAAAGGCAGCTACTCAGCTGCTTGTGGTTGATCCCACCATGGAGTTGATTGCCAGTCTCATCATGGGGAATAACTACCACCAGCTGCCCAGCCACTCAACCAGGCCCAGCCAAGTTGACATACAAACAACCATCACAGTGATTGCTTGCCAAATTTTTCTAAACTGTCAGTAAGATGGGTTGGTTGCATGATGCCTCTACTATCCCTAATCAACTAAGACCACACTCATTATGCACTGCTCTTAAAATAATAATAATAATAATAAAAACCCAAAAGAATTTCCCCAGGAGCATTTGGTATTCTCTCACATAGGGATGGTGAGTACAAGATTCAACTTACTCTGGTGGTTTTAAAAATGACAGCATGAAACCATTAACTGCATGGTACTTAAGCTTTTCTGAGTCATAGGTCTCTGGGAGAATCAGATAGAAGCTGTGGATTCTCTCCAGCAGTGGGCACAAAAAAACAAGACAATGTGTGCCATTTAAGCTGGTTCACAGGGCCCAGTCCCACACTTTGGTAATCCATCTTTGAAACAGACTGTAGGCGAAGAACT